AAAACAAACTAAAAAGGATTTTGTATCCCTGTCACAACAAAAAAAGAAAAGAAAGATGTTGTATCCCAATAAAAGACAAACGAAAAAGGATTTTGTATCCCAATAAAAACAAACAAAACAACAAGGATTTTGTATCCCATTTATTTTCAAATCCAAACAAACAAGAAATGTGTATCCCAGTTAACCTGTGTGGACCCAGATGGAGGTGATGTTTGACCGCAAATGTCTCACAATTAGGTATTGAGCAGATACAACTTTGTAATTCTAATGTAGCGAGATTTGAATTTATCGAAATTTCCAAGGGCACTCAATTTTTGACAGTCATCAAACTTTGGGGGCCAAGTTATCTCTTATCTCCAGGAGCTCCCTCCCCCCTTTCCCTCCCACACCCACACCTACACAGCTTCTTCAATGGCAAACACTTTGACTTCTTTTTAAGACAATAAATGTGTATTAGTTTTCTTCTAAAAGTAAAACAAATGAACACACGTTCAGGGCACACCGTAACTTCATATTCCTAAAATTTAACTAGCGCCTGATTCAACTCCGTTGTGACACACATTGCTACTCTAGAATTACATAATGTATATAAATCATTTATTACACTCGTTTTGGTGTTAGACCATGATTTATCCTACTTGTGAAATTGTCAGATGTAATCACTCGTTGAAACTCGTGATTACAACTTGGCAATTTCACTAGTAGGATAAATCATGATCTTACACCAAAACTCATGTAATAAATTATTTATCTCGCTCAGTGTCTAGTTTTGAGAAATTTGACGTTTTTGATTTCTACAAAAGTTCAGGCTTTATTGAATGCATATCTTTGAATATCTCGATAACCACTCCAGTATTTAATAATCTTACGATTTCGATAGAACGTATTGTTACAGAACACAATTGTCGCTTTTAGGGACATGTGGGTTAACCAAGATTTCGGGAGTTTCCAAAAATCTTGACCTACACCAAAAGTGGAATTGCCCTAGCTATTGGAGAAGTTTGGTTTCATTGGTGTGTATATTTGTTTGGTTATAGAAAAAAAACTCTCCTTGTCTTTTTAAGAGAATGAATACGGATCCAAAAACTTTAACTTCGATTTTCTCAAAACGGCATATATCGGGTTAGCCCCCTTGCGCTTAAAAGTGACCAATTTGGGTTTTAGACCTCAGGGTCTTAATAACTGAAAACGGTCGAAAATGTCAGATATAACTTTGTCATTCTAAAGTAGCAATATAAAAATGTGTGTTTCCAGGTCGTTGAGAAGAAGACAAAGATGGTGCTGACTATTCGCAACCCAAAAGACACAGCCGCCTCTTTCTACAACCATCATCGCACGATAGCACGCTACGGCTATGACGGGCCCTTCAACAAGTGGTTCCCTCTCTACCTCAACGGGAGAGGTACTTTGCAAAAACACACATACACACATCCATACACACACATACTTATATACACACATGCACACACACAAACACAGACACAGACACACATGCATCACACATACACATACACACACACA